CCTTCTTCTCCTCCAAGACAAACGTACACGTAAAAACAAACAAACAAAACAAGTGCAGTATGCTGATTACTCAACAGCAAGTCATCAGAAACGCAAAGATTGGGTTGCTGTTTCCATAGTGACGACTTTATGTGGTTTAGCTATTCTGGGAATTTAACCAGAGCCCAGCAGCAGGAGAGAATCATCAGCAAAATTTCTGTAGCATATGGTAACTGCCAACAAATCAGTGAGGGGGAAATGCTTTTATCTGATCTCCAGAGAAATATCTTTGCTTCAAACTAGTTGAGGATGTGTAGCATTCTGTTGGTCACCCTAATAGTAACTCAGACCCAAATATTACCAGGTTCCTTTGTTCTTAGAGGAGGAGAGCTGTTGGAACCCAGCCAGGCTCCGCAGTTCGTGCATTCCCTGAATGGCATTTAGACATAGACAAGGAATGCGTGTCTCTTCCCAGGACTCTCTGGTGGTCAGCCCTACTGGCCATCTGCAGGGCTATCTCCTAGGAAAGAATGCAAAAGGCATTTCATTCTCTAGTCTATTTCTGTTCTAAAATTCCCATTCTTGACAATGTTCCCCATAATCTGCTATGACCCACACAATCGAGAAACTTTGCATAATGAATATAACACAGATAGACACATCAGTTTTGTGTATTTCTGAAATATCTTTCTGATATTCTTTGCTTTCAGTCAAGCTCCATATGATATCACTCATCCCAAATCTTCTGAATAGACCTCGAATTCCTGGTGAGTCCCGTCAATGTACTACTGCAACCACTTTTGTATTATCTTCAGCATCATTTCATTACAAAGGAGATACAGTTTAAAACCAAGGAAGCTATGTGGCAGGACTGTATCCTAGCACCATCTTTATTCAATCTGTATCTTATCAAATAATCCTAGAAGCTGAAATGTATAAAGAAGAACGAGGCATCAAAACTGGATGTTCATGAACAACCTATGAGATGCAGGTGACACAATCTTACTACTGAAAGTGGAGAACTTGATTAAGATCATAGACTTTTGGATGGATTATACATGAACAAAAGTCTTCACAACTGGACCAATTAAAAATATACTAAATGGAAAAAGTATTGACATTGTCAAGGATTTCATTTTATTTAGATCTACAACCAATGCTCATGGAAGTACCAGTCAAGAAATCAAATGACATGTTACATAAGTCAAATTTGTGGCAAAATACTTCTTTAAAGTGTTAAAAAAGAATGTTCATTAGAAGCAAAATTAGAAAGAGAGAGAGAGAGAGAGAGAGAGACGTTGAAGGTGTTATCAGAAGGATCCGTCCCTGGGGAAGGACATCATGCTATGTAAAGAAGAGGGTCAATTAAAAAGAGAAAGACCCTCAATGAGATGGATGGACCTCCTGCCTTGTGAGAATACATTTGTTGTTTGTTAAAGCCACTCACTTACAGTATTTGTATTAAATCAGCATTAGGTAACTTAGGCAAACATAAATAAATCTTATCCTTGCATGTGCTTGTTTTCAAAACTCATCAGCCACAGGTCACCCTCACACCATCCTGGCTTGGCCTTTCTGTCTCCTCTACTCCCCAAAGTTGCTTCCATATGGCTGTAGCCAAGGTCACACCACCATCATAGTATCATGGTGCCCTCTGAAGTTAAGCTCACAAGAGAAATGCCCAGATAGAAGGCAGGGAACCTTTTAGCTTCCACATCCCAGGGATAAAGTTTCCCCAGCTTTGTGTAGATTGACAATTGGGTACAACGATAAACTCAAGCACAGCTAGAATTGTGAAGATAATGCAGGGTTGGGAAGGTTTTGTGGTAGTGTACAAAATGTCATTATGAGTTGAATCAACTCAAGAGCACGTAACAATATATTCTACTCTTCAATCCAGTTCATCCTTGCACGGTTGGAGACGTGTAGTATAATTTTACCTTTCAATTGATAATCTAATGGTTAAAATAGGACTTTGTGCTTTTAGCAAGAAAAAAAAGTGGTACTTTTTTATTTTTATTTTTTTGACCTCTTGGGGTTGTTTATGGATTTCCATTTTTGGTGGATTTTCCATACCGCTCACCAGAAAGTAATATGATGCCATTTGACTGGTGTATGCTTTAGAAACAGAAAATCTTCTTAGACATAGTCATTATTTCTGCCAGCTTTTTTTTTTTTTAATGGTATTTTATTAAGCTCCACTAGTCCAGGAAGGATCCTCTAAATATCAAATTAGATGTTATCTAGTTCAAGGAATTAAAACGCCTTCCTCTCACGGGAACAAAGACTGTGATAAATACACAATCAATATTTCAGCATGATTAAACACTTTTACAAACAAGGAATGCACCTTCTAAAGAGCTCATTCTATTTTGAATGGCTCTTGACATTAACAAGAATTTTCTTATGCTACACCTAAATCTATTCCATTTTTATTGGTGTTTAGGCTCAGCTCTCTATTCTCAAGGTGTTACAAGCTAAGCCCAATGCTTCTGCATGGCACCAACTCGCAGGCTTGAGGACAGCTCGAAGCTGTTCTTTTTCATTCCTCACAGTCCTAATCTTCACCCCACATACTCCTAAATGGCATCTCCATTCACTTGCCTACAGCATCCATTCTCTTTTAGTTTAGTTTGCCCATGATAATGCTATGCTTTTCTCTAACATACTTCAACTAGTAGGTCTAAATAGGGAGTTTCAAATCCACCAAAGACCAGGCAGGTCAATTGTAAGAAGCACCTGCAGGTCAGGCCACTGGGAATGGTCACAATGGTGGGGTCCTAGAGGATTTGTTCCCAGTTTGAGAGTTCCATTTCAAAATGGTGGCCAAACACACACACAACCGTGTCTGCATTGTGATCTTTGGCCCAAATTACTGTGATGCAAATAGTCATTTAATAGAGTACTGTGTTAGGCAGGGTTCTCCAGAGGAACAAAACCAGGACACTTATGATTTTATACATACACATATATGGAATATATCAGCTAATTAGTCCACACAGCAGTACAGAGGGCTCAGTTCAAGCCACTTTCATGGAACAGTTAATAGACTGAATTCAACTCACACAGGCTGCCAGACCAAGGGCAAGGAAGTAGAAAGGAGAGTCTATCCTCAGGCAAGACAGGCAGGGTGGGGCAGCAACAGTCAGTAGTGCTGGGAGCTTAGTGAAGCAGGCCCCTTGGGATCTCTAACTCTAGCGATGAATGCATCAGTGTCAAGACAAAGCATGTCTAGAAAAAGTCTCAAGCTCTAGTGACAAGATCCATGGGTTGGCTCAGCCCACAGGTAATGCAGCACATGATTGAGACAAAGAACTGGCTTAAGCACCAGCACACTGGTCGCTGGTCAATCACCAGGGAGGAAGAGAGAGGGGATGCCAGCTGAGGAAAGTATTTATCTTGGTTACCCTCCAATCAAGCTGCAACCTGATTAAATTCCACCCACATGTTCCTATGGAGGCCTAGATGGCACAATAAACCTACATACCACAAGTAACTCTTAGACAACCAATCTCCAATCGGACTAAGGGATAGGGGATAACAGTCCTCTGTCATACAAGGAAACTCTGTCTAGTGATCATGGGAATTTAGCCAGTTTATTTTCTCTCCTTATTGTTGTTAGGTGCCATGGATTCCATCGAATTCATAGTGACCCTCATGTGACAGAGTAGAACTGCCTCATTTGGGCATCTAGGCTATAATCTTTGCAGGAGCAGGTCACGAGCTCTTTGTCCGGTGGAGCTGTTAGGTGAGTTCAAACACCGATATTTTGATGGCCAGTTGAGCATTTAACCATGACACCACCTGGGCTCTTTCAAATAAACTCATCGTTCCTTCATTGCTCAAAGCTTGTATCAGGTAAATTTGTTCTACACCAGGAAGAACAGGGCTCAGGAAATCAGAAGACACATCATGAATGATGGATGTTAGTCTTAAATCAAAGATAAAGACATTCTATTATAAAAGCCAGAAAACCCCCCATTGTTAACTTTAAATTTTTAACTCTTTTCATTTCTTCAGACTTGAATGTTGTTCAAAATATAAATGGCACTCTCCTTACATGTCCTGCTCTAGAACTGTCAGATTCCCTGTAAACCACATGACCCAGACAGCAGCCAACTGAGAACAGACAAGCCTTGTCTGTGGCTGTGTCCTAGGAAAGACGGCTGATTCCTGGAGGTGAGGTTATGAATGTTGTTGTTGTTGGGTGATACCAAGTCAGCTCCAACCCATAGCCCTGCTGTGCACAACAGAACAAAACACTGCCTGGTCCTGCACCATCCTTACAATTGTGCCTATGCTTGATCCCCTTGTGGCAGCCACTGTGGCAGTCCATCCCCTTATGATCCTTTCTCTCCTTCACTGCTTCTCTGTTCACCAAGCATGATGTCCTTCTCCAGAGACTGGTCTCTCCTGTTATGAATATTCGACTATAAAACACTGATACAATCACCATAAATTCCAGGGCATGAGACCTGAGTCCAAAATAAGAATCCAGTCATTTTTCTCTCAGATTAGTGGAAATGTATCTTTAGTTTATAGTCACATGTCTCATAGTTCTACCACGATTGACACGAAACAGTCACAGCTCATAGTGATGACATGGAGTCTCATAAGTAGTCACATGGCTTATGGGCTTAGTTACTAACAGAAAGGTTGGAAATTGGAATCCACTCAGAGTTACCTCAGGAGAAAGGCCTGGCGATCTATTTCTGTAAACTCAGTCACTGAGACTCCGATAAAGTAGGTACAGATCCACTCTGACACCTACGAGTCACCACAAATCAGCATCAACTCAAAGACAACTGTTCAGTTGGTTGCATTGAGCTCATTGCATGGCAGTTGGGGGTTCCCACATACAAACCCTACAAAAGCAGATCCCAGATATGGCCCCACTGAACTGTCTGACTATTGACTCACCATCCACACTTGTAAATATCCCCATGAAGTTCAAGTTAGAATTCCACCTAGACCTATGAATATCCACTTCCCATACCACAGTAAACAGTTTCTTTGCTTACCTCTGTCTGTCATCTTGGATCCAATAGGCTTGTCTGGGACAGTCAAGTGGTCTAGAGTGCTACTTAATGAAGACGTGTCATCACTAGATAAAGAGTTCAGAAACCCACTCTCTGATGTAGCATCTTCCTGGGTCTTGCAACTGTTGGCCTCTGAAGGGAGAGGCGAGTGAACCTGCACGGCAAACATTACAGGCTGTCCCTCGTCTTCAGCAGCAGAGGAGCTGTTCACTATGTTGAGCCAGGACTGTCTTTCTTTCGCTGAGGAGGAAGAAGCACTGCTAGCCGTCTTCTTTGCATGTTCCCGAGAGGAGAAAGAACATGATGCTTCACTCCGCTTTGGTGAGGATGAAGATGCCTGGTGGGCCGCCTATTTTTCACAAACAAAACCAAAGAAGACTAAAATAAATCACGAGGGAACCAGCATTCTCTACCTTTCATTCGCAATGAGGGTACCTCTAGGGTTTCAACGACAAAAGGCTCAAGAGATAAGTGTACGGTATTCATAGCTGCTTGACAGGCATCATGATGTCATTTGTCAAAACTGATTGACACGCTTTTGAATTCACGGTGCTAGGAGCTGAACAAAAGCTTTCTGCTGGGATGGCCCACACGTCTCCGTGCTCTCCAGCACCTACATGGGCCCTTCGGGGAATTCTTGGGAATGCAGAAAGAACTCTTGAGAAGAAGAAAAGAGACACACTAAACTAACAAATCATCATCTATCATGAATTCACAGTGATGGACCAGACACTCTGGAGCTAGGGGATCAAGAGGAAACACCACAGCTTGAGCCAGACAGCAAGTGAGACATGGTTAACTGAGAGGAAGTTGGCGATTTGGCCCAGAGACATCTATTTGCACTCTCCAGTGTCTTTCACGTATTCTTTAACACTTGAGCGCCATCCACTCATAACTTCACCGGTAAGATCAAGTCACGTTAATTCATTCTCTCTTTCATATGTTTTTTAACTTAATCAAGCTTCACCCAAGAACACAAGGGTACACTTACAGTCTACTAACTCATTAGAAAGAACCCCAAAGCTGGACCACTGATGAGGAGAAGCAGATTGATGATGATGAATCCCTAGCAGCAGTTCCTAATCCACAATTCAAGAGTGATGACAATCCTTAGCAAAATCTCCACCGGTCTCTAGAGAAAACAGTAATGCAACATCAATCTTCCTCTTTGAGAAAGACCTTCACTTCTCCTGAGATCCAATGTGCAGAAGAGAGTAGATCTGGCCACCTAGGGTTTCCAAGGCTGTACGCTTTCACTGAAGCAACCTGCCACATCCCCCACCCCCCACCCCCGCCATGGGGCAGCTGGTGGGTTGGAATAGTCATCCTTTCAGCTGGCAACTGAGAACTTGATATATCCTTGTTGTAATTTGATCTTAAAACGTACAGTATAGCAACAATGAAGCTCACAATCTTCCTCTAGTTCTTAAACGCTTCCTCCCCCCAACTACCAGGACCCCAGTTTCGCCTTGCAGACCTGGTTAGACCAGATGATGCATAGCGGTACAGAGGGGAATTGGAAGCGCAGGGAATGTAGGACGGAAGAAACTCTCAGGACCGGGGGTGAAGGGGGCGATATCAGGAGGGAAAGGGGAGGTAGTAAGGGGGAATGGATCACAGGGAGCCACATATGGCCTCCTCTCTGGGGGACGGGCAGCAGCGGGGTGGGTGAAGGGAGGCGCCGGACAGTGTAATATAAGATACAATAATAATTTATAAATTATTAAGGGTGCATGGGGGAAAGGGAAGGGGAGGGGGGAGAAATTAAAAAAAAAAGGAAAATGAGCGGATTCCGGGAACCCAAGAGGCAAGAAAATTTTGGGAATGATGAGGGCAACAAATGTATAGATGTGCTTTACACAATTGATCTATGTATTGTGACGAATTGTATGAGCCCCAATAAATTGATTTTAAAAAAATAAATAAATAAAATGGAAAAAAAAAAAAACAGCTGAAATAGCCCCAATAAAGGGATTTTTTAATTAAAAAAAAAAAATATGCTGTCTTATGGAAACTAGTGAAACTGGATAAATTCTTATCTTTTTACAATTATTTTAATGTCCTGTATAGCAACAAAAAAAAAAACTGGGTCTTTACGCCTTTGAGTCATTCTATGGTATTGCTGTTGGGTAAGAGTTGAACCGCGAACCATAAGATCAGCAGTTCAAAGCTACCAAGCACTCCTCCGGAGAAATTTAAGGTTGTCTGTTCCCATGGAGATTTATAGGCTTGGAAATCTATATAGAGTCACTAAAAGTTGGAATCAACTTAACGGCAATCGATATTTGGTTTTTACATCTCCAAGGGTAGATAAAACACAGCAAGCATTTTATTATATCATCCCATGGAATACTACCGTCAAATTCAGGGGGCATTCAAACTCAAAGGAAGTGGAAGGAAGGACATAATTAGAGGATAAAAGTGAAAAAGCAAACGAGGGTCCCCTCCAAACACCTTCCACTCTCTGCAACCAACTCAGACAGTTGGACTTTGCTCTAAACCAAGATATCCCCCCCAATTTTTCATGTGCTCTGATGTGACGAGTCAGCATTTGTCCAATAAGTCTTCAAAAGGCTGCATGCATGTGCACATGCACTGTCAAACCATCACTATATCCATTTTCAAGGAACATGGCATCAAAGTCTCTAGATCAGTGTGCATTCATCACTCACATATCTTTTTGATCATAATATATTTGCCTAGATATGAAATTGTCCCATTCAGAAAACTAACAAGTGGTTTGGGTACTAGTTGCATAATCACTCAGACCACTTGAAAACTAAGAAGTCAAAGGTCTATAATTCACAAACAAAACCTTGGAAATCTGAAGGAAGTCATGCATACAATCTACATGCACACACCAGCAACAATGAGCTCGTGAGCAGGATCAGCAGAAGAGATACCAACAAACATACCTACCATGGCTTAGTCCTCGCATCTCCCCCTACCGTGTGCCATGTTCATACATCTCAGCCGTCATGGACTTCCTATTCTGAAAGAGGTCAAGCGCCAGCCTTCCTGCTGCTTTTTCAGATACTACTCTAATGGGGCTACAGCAAAATGGGCTCTTTGAGCAAAATCTGATGCAGACAGTTGCTGCAGCGGCACTTTCAGGTAGTCCCTTTGCACCTAGATTGAGAAACTCAGCACACATTGCCATTGAGTCAATACTGACTCATAGCAGCCTCCCTCTGGGTTTCCAGCCATGCAACTGTTTATGGGAGTAGACGGCCCCGTCTTTCTCCTGAGGAGCAGAGGTGGGTTTTGAACTGCGAACCATGCAGATCGCAGCCCAACACATAACTAGTACACCACCCAGGTTTCTCAAAGGACAGAGGAAAGAAGGCAGGTTAAATGAGCATCCAAATAATCCATGCAGCTTGTCTCCTTGCTTGTTGTTCTAGTCAAATCAGTGCAAATGCTTTCGTTCCTTTTTTTTGGGGGGGGGGCAGCTGGGGTGGGACCATAGAACATTTTCAAACTTCATTTGAACAAAGCAGAGTGGAGGGGGGCAGGGGAATAAAAAAGAAGGAATGAGGGGAAGAACTGGAAAGGAAAGGAGAAAAAGATGACATGTACCAAGACTAAGAGCCGCTGAGGAATATACATAATTAATTGCTCAACTATTAAGTTGAAAGGTTGGCAGTTCAAATACACCCACAAGCACCTCATAAGAAAGGATTAGCAATTTGCTTCCAATGGGTTTTCAGCCTTGACAACTCAGTGAAGTAGTTCTACTCGGGCACACACTGAGCTGTCCTGAGTCAGAATGAACTCAAAGGCAACACATTTGGTTTGACGCGGCTTGGTTGGATTGTGGATCCCGGCACGATGAAATCCTTGACAGCTTCCATCTTTGCTCGGCTTCTCATGATGTTCAGTTGGTCTAGTCTTGAGGGTTTGGGCTTGCTTTCCATTGTTCTGGAATCCATCATGAGCACGGCCGTCTTTGAACTTCACCAGCAAGTGCTTCAAGTCCCCTTCACTTTCAGCAAGCAAAGTGGTGTCATCTGCATTATCGCAGGTTGGTAACCAGCCTTCCTCTGATCCGAACGCCTTATTCTTCTTCACATAATCCAGATCATGGGATTATTTGCTCATCCTTGGATCTCTTCTAGATGGTTGGACAGGTAGATGCCCTCCAAATTTCTTGGTATAGACTAGTGAATGCTTCCAGTGTTTCATCTATTTGTTGAAACATTCAATCCCATAAATTCCTAAAGCCCTGTTTTTGGCTAATGTCTTCAGTGTAGTTTTGACTTCTTCCTCTGTACCATACATTATTGATCATTTTCTATCACTAAAAATGATTGAATACTGAACTATTCTTTTTTGGTACAGAAACTCCACTTCTTATGGACTTGTCTTAATTTGCTTCAGCTTCAGCTTTAACGTACAGATGAGCAATTTATGGTCTGGTCCATCATCAGCCCTGACCTAGTTTTGGCTGCTGATATTGCACTTCTCTATTGTTTATTTCCACAGATAGTCAATTCGATTTCTGTGTATTCTCTCTGGCGAGGTCCATGTACACAGTTGCCAGTGTGTTATGGAAAAAAGATATTTGGAATAAAGAGGCTGGGTTTTCCAAAAGTCTGTGTTGCTTTTATTTTCTATCACAAAGGCATTATTTACTGTCTCCCATTCCTTCCTCTTTGTTTCCAACGATTACATTCCAATAACCAATAAGTATCAATGCATCTTGATTGCATGTTTGATGAAATGCAGACTGAAGATCTTGGTGGAACTCTTCAATGTCCTCATCATTAGTTTTAGTGGTTGATGAATAAGTTTGAATAATAGTTGCATTAACTGGACTTCCCTGTCAATTTACTTCCCTGATATTGTACTTCAAGATAGATCTTACAATGTTCTGACAATGAATGTGACACCATTGCTCTTGGAGTTGTCATTCCATACGGTTTACTGTGATTCAAAATGGACAACTCCAGTCCATTTCAATTCACTAATGCCTACGGCAGTGACCCTTAGGCATTCCATTTCGTTTCTGGTGACTTCTAATTGTCCTAGATTCCTATTTTGTGCATCCCACATTTTGAAGCTGTTTCTTCTCATTTCGAGTTGTGCCCACTGGCTAATGAAGGTCCCCAGTGCTTTACTAGATGAGGCTCAGCATGGTTTACTCTACTTTGAGAATGCAGCTGTTCCTTAGTCAAATTTTGGGGGTCTTCCAAGCGGAGAGGCTCATCTTCCAACACTATACTTGACAATGCTCTGCCACTATTCCTGAGGTTTTCAGTGAGTGATTGCTCAGAAGTGGGTAATCTCGACACTATTCATTGATTCCAGAAGTAGACCGCCTACTCCTTCTTCACCGTCTTAGTCAGG